TATACGGTTCCCTAATCCTGCCCCCTCACACCCCACCCGCCACCTAACACCCCCACCCAATCCCTCACACCCCCAACTGCCCCTTCTCACCCCCACCCGCAACCACCTGCCCTCTTACACCCCCACCCGCCCCCCACCCTCCTACTGGACTGGTTCTTATTCACTTCTGCACTCGTCCTGGTTCACTTCTTCACTAATGCCTCAGCCTGCTTCACCATCTCACTAACCTCGAAAGTGTCGGCCTTGTTGTTCCGCTGGAAGACGCACCCCATTGTCTTCTCCAGCTCCTGCAAGATCGAAGACATCATTCTGATCAGTTCCTGTGTGTCTCGCTGTCCTTTCTGGGGATGAGAGAATTCTAGCCTCGATTATCAAGGTACGATTTCACTGTATCAATAGCATTGTAAGAAACTACGTTAAATTTACCACCGGTGGTTTCTTCCCCCCCCCCCATTTCCCACCACAATGAGTGGAAAAAAGTCACAGGAGAAACGTAACCTGAAAAAACGTCACAACCTTTGCTAGGAAAAAGGTCACAGAAAAAAGGTCACAAGTTTTGCTAAGAAAAAGGTCACAGAAAAAAGGTCACACGTTTTGCTAGGAAAAGGTCATAGAAAAAGGTCATAAGTTTTGCTAGGAAAAAGGTCACAGCAAAGAGTCTCAAGTTTTGCGAGAAAAAAGGTCACAGCAAATAAAAAAGTCACTGGAAAAAGTCACAGACAAACTTTTTTAAATTTTTAATATCATAGCCGCCTCCGAGAAAATTCAACCTTCTTACCCGAATTCAACCGTCACGCATGACGCTCGCTGATTTGCAGATTTTTTTCCCGCTCAGTACCATTAATATAAAACATGTTGAGTTGTGTGTGTGTGGGGGAGGGGGGAGGAGCCGTTTGTGAAAAGGAAGCAGCCCGACCAGAAGCAAAATATGTATAAGAGATATTAATAACTAAGTCAATATAAATTCAACCTTCTTACCCGAATTCAACCGTCAAGCATGACGCTCGTTGATTTGGAGATTTTTTTCCCGCTCAGTACCATTAATATAAAACATGTTGAGTTGTGTGTGTGTGGGGGGGGGGGGAGGAGCCGTTTGTGAAAAGGAAGCAGCCCGACCAGAAGCAAAATATGTATAAGAGATATTAATAACTAAGTCAATATTTTTTTTAAGAGAGATTTTACAAAACATCGAGCTTGTTGAACAAAATAGATTCTACGGAAGACAAAATACATGAAATATAAAATTAAGTCGGACTAAAGCTAGATCTAAGAGCATGGCCTGGCAAAAGTACGGCCAGCGGCCCACACCCGGCCCTAGACAGTGCTTTATCCGGCCGGTGGAGTCAATCGTGATTTTTTAATTCACAATAGAGCCTGTACACATAGTATGCCTGGAACAACATCAGGGAGAGCCATGTTCAAAGAGGTCGACTAGTCCATTGCTCGGTGCATTGTGAATGTGACAAAATTGAAGCGAGTCAGGACAAACCGCGGTAAAGACACATGCGCAAAAGTGGACATTTTTACTTGGGCAAATTTGCGAGACTGTTTCAAGTGGTGGTTGTTCCAACCAAGCCTATGGTTCCTCATTGCATTATTCATCAACAGGCACAGTGGTGAAAAGATCTGACTTTATCTTGCGTCATGGGGGCCTATGTTTTAACAGGTTAACTCTATTCGACCCCTGAAAAACCGTCTTCTCCGCGAATTTTTTGACGCCAATAAAAGCGCGATAATCCGTCGTGCCCTACCAAACTTCTGTCAGGTGGAACGGTTGTGGGACGGCTTTGTCGCAAAATTTATTATTTGTAGTGGTTTGTTTATCGCTATTTTTTTTTTTAAAATCTAAACTTGGGTCGTTCTAACTAAGTTTCAGTGTTACAGTTTAGTCAAAACAAATCTGAATTTGGAGTCGAAGACCCGGCATCGCGGAGTCCAGAACCCGGAGTAGCAGACCCGGGGCCGAAAGTAAATCAAAAGGGGTCGCTGTGTTATTCATTCTACGCGCATAGCCGTTAAGTTCCATCTCCCGTTAGGTTCCATCCACCGTCAGGTTCCATCCCCCGTCAGGTTCCATCTCCCGTCAGGTTTCATTCCCCGTTAGGTTCCATCTCCCGTTAGGTTCCATCTCCTGTTAGGTTCCATCTCCCGTTAGGTTCCATCTCTCCCGTTAGGTTCCATCTCCCGTTAAGTTCCATCTCCCGTTAGGTTCCATCTCCTGTTAGGTTCCATCTCCCGTTAGGTTCCATCTCCCGTTAGGTTCCATCTCTCCCGTTAGGTTCCATCTCCCGTTAGGTTCCATCTCTGCCGTTAGGTTCCATCTCTCCCGTTAGGTTCCATCTCCCGTTAGGTTCCATCTCCCGTTAGGTTCCATCTCCCGTTAGGTTCCATCTCCCGTTAGGTTCCATCCCCCCGTTAGGTTCCATCTCCCGTTAGGTTCCATCTCCCGTTAGGTTCCTTCTCCCGTTAGGTTCCATCTC